CCAGCTTTCAAGTACACCTCCCTGATTTGGTCTCTAATCATCGAACGAACTTGAATCAGTCTTTGGAGGAATATTTCCGGCTACTTGCAATGCTTCTAACTCACACCTGTACCTGTCTTAAGCCCGGTTAAGACATCTACTCATGAAATGTCAACCAAAATTTCAAAATGCGTTCTCGTTTCGAAAAGATAAATTAAGTACTGTTGTAAAACTAATCATGATGCAGCATAAATCTATAATGATCCAGTTACCTCAGGGTGTCGGCTTTCGAAAGAACTTATTTTCGGCTGCATGCAAGGTCCATACTCTGCAAAAAATGACTACTTAAGTAGCATGCAATTTTCTCATTGATTTTCGATGCCCCTGAAAATGTAATTATATTTCATGGAAAGCATGCATAAAAATATTCATTCTTTCACTCATTCGGTAGAAAATCACGTCTTCTTCCAATTTCATACTCAAGAGAAGAGTATAATTCGGTTTTAAAAAACTTTTCTAATTCTTGAATAATTTTGAACCCGACCTGCTGTTACACTTGCATGCAGGGTTCCAAAACTACAAGCTGTATATTTTCCGTGTACGGAAAACCATGCATTTCTCTACGGTGTTAAGAGGAGACCATATGAGGTTCATTAAATTAAGCAATGGATTTGAGCACTATTGTTAACTTTACAAGCCACGTTCGTAAATGCAGATACATGACGTTTCATGAACGGTCATTTAACAGTATTAAAAAATCACACAATTGGAAACTTTTTTAAAACCGAATTATACTCTTCTTTTGAGTATGAAATTGGAAGAAGACACGATTTTCTACCAAATAAGTAAAAGAATGAATATTTTTATGCATGTTTTCCATGAAATATAATTGAATTTTCAAGGGCATCGAAAATCAATGAGAAAATTGCATGCTACTTAAGTAGTCATCTTTTGCAGAGTATAGACCTTGCATGCAGCCGAAAATAAGTTCTTTCGAAAGCCGAAACCCTGTGGTAACTGGATCATTATAGATTTATGCTGCATCATGATTAGTTTTACAACACTACTTAATTTATCTTTTCGAAACGAGAACGCATTTCGAAATTTTGGTTGACATTTCATGAGTTAGCACATCTACTGTAATTTCGCATTACTGTTTGTGCGTTTCACACCAATAGTAGTGAAGATGCGATTTTCGGGCGCATTTATGCTAGGAGTGACATTTCAAAATCCAGGTGCAGTCTAAATTGTCTTGCACCAAATACCGCACTTCACATTTTTTCAGGCAGTCATCTAAGTAACCATTTAACTCGCAAAAAGTTCATTTGTCACTTATTGCCAGAGACTTCTAATGTACTTTTCGGGCCCAAACTAGGAACTTTTAAGAGTGCATACAGGATTACCTCTAACCAAAGAATTTAGGTGTTTTCATCGTATGTGCCCACTAGGTTCTACCAACTTGTGGTCTGTGTAGACCATAAATTTGTTCTCTTCTAGAAAATCATCACAGTTGACGTCCTCAATTAAATATTACCATATTATTTGAAGGATTTTATGCGTTGGTAGGGGGCGCTCACCGATCGTTCTTACGGAACTTACTCGTTCCGTTGTACCTTACGGCTCTCTCTCTCTCTCTCTCGAGCCAAACCACCGGCCGCACAGCGGCGCATGATATAGGCAATATGTTATTACCGACAAAGACAAGGGCGACTTGAATGGCCATTTCTGGCTTATTAGCCGTCGATAATAACATACTGCCTATATCATGCACCGCTTTGCGGCTGCTGGTTGGGCTCGAGAGAGAGAGAGAGAGAGAGAGAGCCCGTAAGGCACAACGGAACGAGTGAGTTCCGTAAGAACGATCGGTGAGCGCCCCTCTATCATTGTATATTCCCGATCGAAACCGACAGGACAACGGGCTCGTGGCCCAGTGGTTAGAGGCGTGGACTTCTAACTAACACGTCGCGAGTTCGAGCCTCGAGTGTTCCACACTTCAGGGTTGGGTATGACTGGCTGACGACGGTTAATAAGCCAGAAATGGCCATTCCAGTCTCCCTTGTCTTTGTCGGTAATAACATACTGATTTTGTGCGTTTCCGGTCTACTGTGTGATTTTATTTCTTTCCACGGAAGCATGTGGAAATGCTGAATTTATGGCCCGTGTCCAACCTGCGCGAAAAGAACCAAATTAATCAATTGTTTCGTTTTCGTCACTCGTGAGAACCAAGACGGTTTAAAGAGTCTTTCGCATAAGGGCTGTGCTGTCGTTACCGGCTTATTGTCAGAGAAAATTCAGAAGTTCCCGCAATAACGACCCTCAACAGATCGCTCCAGGGCTTTAGTGGCTAGGGCAGATTGTGATTGGTGGTGCTGGCACTGCCTGCCGCTGTACGCCTACAGACCGCGTCCCTTGTACGTGTGTAGCGTCCGACCTCGCAAGGGGTTCGATGACCGAGGGTCCGCCTGCGTCTATTTGGGTAGTCTGGGGTGGAACGTCGGGAACTGCAATACTCTGTCCAGTTTGTGCATCATTAGGATCACACTTTTGATCAGGCATCATCAATAACAGTCTTCAAACACGCGACAAGTCACGTAGTATGCCAAGGTTTATTGGGAACGCAAAAAGAGGGAACGTAGATGAGGGATAGACAAGAAGGATCGGAAAGTCCAAACCAACGTAGTCTTCACTATTGTCCGGGGAAGGTGGAGTTGGATGCTGCCACCGGGGAGGGGGAATCACCGTCTTCGCGCACTTCAACTGAAAGGTACAGAAGAAGACGAACAGATAGCGTTCAGACGCTAGGCACCCTAACTCTCAAAACTCGCGCCCTTATCTATTCAACCAATCGTTCCTGTCTGCCTGCTACACGTGGGCTTCAAGGTCGCTGTAGGGTTTTTGAATCCCTTTGCTGCCAGGCCTGTCTGACCAATCAGAAGCGTTCATGCGTGACCGAGGCTATCATGGTCGTTTGCCCTGCCTCCCGCAGCACTCACATACTACCATTTTGGGGGGCTCTCAGACCCACAATGGCGTCCGATAACTGGCCCTGATTACCCAGTCAACGGTTGTGACATCTGTACAGAATATAGCCCGCTTCCTGTGTGGGGCCTGACCTGGAGACTGAAATACTTACGGCGCACACAACTTTAGCTGGCGCAACGGTTCTGTGCAATGCAAGCAGAATTCGGCCGCCAGTCTGTGGGCACTCATCAACGTCGGCAAAGTGGAAAATAACAACGCTCGTCCGGCCACTGGCTGTATCCGTTTATTGTCACCCTGGAAGCAAAGGTGGGGGAAGGGCGCTGTTCCATCCACTAAATGCCTAAGTTCAGATTTGTCTCTTATCAGAGTTTTGCGCTTTCCAAAGATCATTGAACTAATTGGAAATGACTGTCTTAATAATTCCTCTCTTATTACGCTTAAAAAGACTCCAAATATAAACAAATAATATAAATCATAAAAATAAATAGTATAAATAGATAAAAGACATAATTGCAGAGTAAAAGAAAGCCTTTAGGTGCACGTCACTTTACTTGCGAACATCCGAATTGTTAGCAGTACCCCATTTTCAAATGAAGTGATTGGGAGCTCGCGCTCTGAAGACTGAAGGTTAGAAAGTTTGCAATGAATGCTCCTACTCCGGGGTTGCAAGAACGCAGGTGAAGGCCACGACCAACGATAGCGAACCAGTGTTATCCTCGTGAACTGGTCGTTTTGCAGTGGTGGCAACTGATATGATCTACTCATGCACGGCGGAATACTGACGGACCTAAAGTTGATCATTAGTTCCAACATCTCAACTTCGCACCTATAATCTAGGTGTAGTTCATAGATGTTTTGGCAGATTTTGAATAATTCATATTGACCGAACTGTGAAAAACTCGGCGCCTCGGTAGGATTCGAACCCACGCAGTAAGGGGAAGGCTTTAGTACAGCCAACGCTCTAACCACTTGAGCTACGAGGTCCCGCCGGACGACGCGAGTTTAATCACAGTTGGGTTAAGTTACTCTCCCCCCACCCCAATCTACTGCAATGTTTGGAATCCACCAAATCTGATACAGTAATTTGACTGCCCAGGCAGGATTTCCTAAGTCCGACGGGGCTTCGTAGCTCAAGTGCTTAGAGCGTTGGCTGTACTAAAGCCTTCTCCTTACTGCGTGCGTTCGAATCCCACCGAGGCGCCGAGTTTTTCACAGTTGGGTCAGTATGAATTAGGTGTAGTTGTAACTGCGCGTACTTTCCAAGCTCGATATAACAGCGACTGCGGCGGATAAGCGGTTTGTTTTAGTCGGTCAACCGACGCGTGCCAGCGTTGAGACCTGCTCGTAGGCCTTGCAAGTGCACTGAAAAGAGCAAGGTCCTTGCCCTGGTTACAACAAGCAAGCGCGCTGAAATCAGTTTTGTAAAAACCCAGCAGCGGTTTTCTGCTAGTGCTCCAACTTTCCCCTCACCTGTATGTTCTCATAAAAGAACGCACAAAGTCAAATGCACTTCTAAGTTCTAGGCCACCATCGGTCTTTAATGGTGCATTTATTTTACGCGACGTTTTGTTTTCAGCCAGAGACCTGTGCTTCCACCATACTGTAAAGTTCCTTTTCTGATTAGCACGTCGATATGACTTACGACAGCTTAGCAACCATCAGCCGTCATAGTTCGAAGACTAACTTGCCGAAACACACAATCCGAAGCTAAGCTTCGCAAGTGGTAAATGAACAGGAATAGAGATCCGAACTGAAGTCACAGAGAAACAGGAAAATGATACCTATTTGCCCTGAAGGATCGTGAATAGACAGAAAAATGGGAAGATTTATGTCTCAAAGTAATAAGCTCTTTTAGCATGAATTCCACCAAGGCTGTTGCCAACTGCCTTTGTATTCAGCGTCAGGTGTGTGCAATGCAGACAGTGGAGGCAGATGCGGGGAGTGTATTTCGGGGCTCCTGACACTGGTGCGCCGCCCTCGGTGCGATGAATGCGTATGTGAATGCCCAGGCGGATGCCTAAGGTGAAGATGCGATCGCAATGGGAACAGATTGGGACCTGGTCCGTATTTCTGTTGGTGGTAGTGGTGATGGTGGTGTTAGTGGTGGTGGTGGTGGTGGTGGTGGTGGTGGTGGTGGTGGTGGTGGTGGTGGTGGTGGTGGTGGTAGTGGTGGTGGTGGTGGTTGACGGGGCGTCAGGAGTGTTTTCATCGATGGTGGGGGTTTATCTGTTGGACATTGTGAAGCGCTGATACTATCATCGCGTCCGGCCAATCCCTGACACCGCGGGCTTTGCATAGTGCCCAGCCAACCCGAGTCATCCAACCTGGCCAATCAACTCCAAGACTCTCGCGGACAGTTCTCATTCGATACACTCAGACGCCTGCTCCAAAGGTCGGCTAACAACCTGCCCCAGCAACATATTCTTCATTCTGTACGGAATACAAGTCCCTCCTTACAGGAATCTATCTCCGACTACTCAGAACCTGCCCCAAGACCCCTAGTGGTCAGGGTCAGCCTATGAATTTAGTTGGCGCGGCAGTGGATGTAAAGGGTCAGCTCCTGGAGTTTTCATTTATAACGACCAAGCCGAGCGCACGCTTTTTATTGTCTACATGAGACGCATGATCGACCCGCACAGCGAGTGTGGAAGCCATATCCTTGTCGTTCTCCACGCGTCTTCTAAGCACAGGTTGCTCACCGGATCTCTAAAGTCTGCCAGGCCTTCGACCGGCTACAAGCCCTTGGTGTGGAATCGTCACAGCCTCTAACTGAGCACCAAACAAGGCCGTCGTATAGATGACACTTCTGTATGGAGCGGAGACCTGGACCACCTACTCCAGCCATGCCAGAAAGCTCAACCACTTCCACCTCAAATGCCGCCGCAGAATACGGAGGGTGAGATGGCAGGACGGGACCCAGGATACGGAAGTCATGCAACGAATTGGAATCCTCGGCATCCACGCCATGCAGAGGCAACTGCAACTGCGATGTAGCGGCCATCTGAGGAGGATGGGCGATGTATGATTACCCAAACAACTCTCCTACGGATATTTCGCTATAGGCGCTCGCCGACAGGGAAAACAAGAGCGACACAGCAAGGACACTTTCAATAACTCTCTGAAGCGACTGCAAGTCAACCCGGGGACCTGGGAGAACCTCGCCCAGAACAGATCGACCTGGGGAAAAGAATCAAAGACTGGCACAGCCATATACGAAACAAACTGGATCGCCGCCGCCAAAGCCAAAAAGGCTACTTGAAAGTCTCAGGCGCCTCCGATTCACAACATAGCCAATCAACCCCATCCAGCGTGCCCACGCTGCCAACACATTTCGCGTTCGAATCGGCCTCGTCAGACACTTTCGGGGGCAATGCAGCACCAACCTGCCAACCTCAACCGCCACAGCCATCAACACCCCTTCCGCCGATCCTGCCCCGATCCCCCCGACGACCACCCCTACCACCGGTGGTCACACATCCGATGCCCCGCCGCCCTCCACTATCGGCACCGCCCTCCCTGCCGTAACTCCTGCGTCGATTACGGCGGCGACCACCACTGAGACCGCTGCCAACGTCCTGTCACTATCCTCACTACCAATAATGTGGACTAGACTCCAACATGTCCTCATTACGTCCGCACTTTCACCTCACGCCTAGGCCTGGTCGATCAGTTGCATATCCATCGCACGGAGCCTGGCGAACCAATACCAGGAGCACCGACACAATCCGTCGCAACCGCCTTCACTGTTCGCACTGCCCTTGCACATTTACTCACCGCATGGGCCTATTCAGCAAAATGCGCGCCAGTGACAGTGGAGTTCATCGCGATGCTGACACACCTAGCACATCTTGATCACTTATCAACACCCATCCCCAGCCCTCTTACCCTCCTGATTACCAGTGGCAGCAGCACGACCCCCACCGACTCATCACCTCCCGCTCTGTCCTGTCCACACTCCCACCGCACCTTTATCTCCCACATCGACCGGATCGGTCACCTGCGGATCCATCGCGCAGAGACTGCTGAACCAGTACCTGGGGCCCTAACTACATTCGTCGCATCTGCCTTCACTGTCCTCACTGCTACGCATATTCACTCACTGTATGGACCTACTTGGTCATATGCGCTCCACAAAGATCTGTGGTAATTGGCCGAAGGCTTAACCACACCATCACACGTCCTCCCCACCGACAGTTCGACCGCCGTTTCCGACGATGTCCGCCGCGTGTTCCACAGCAAGGTGCCGCAGGCACGCTGACTTGCGCGTGAATTAGTTTAAAGAGATAGTAGACTTGTGCAGAATCTACAGCACTCCCTCTTCCCCACTCCCCACCTGGACCCGGTGTCAATACAAAGCAGGAAGACCGGAGGCGGAGGAGGGCGCAGGTGGCTGACACGACCGGACCCGCACCTAGGCGTGCCACCACACCCCATGGTCCACAACACACACTTGACCAGGATTTTAACCAACAACTACAAAAAATGGAGGTTTGCGCGGCCAGAGCCGCACCTAGGCGTGTCGCCACACCCGGCCCGTATCCCACGGAGTGGGTACGCCATAAAGGCCACATTAAGAAGGAGCCATTGCAGTCTGACTCTTAGACCACCAGCCGGCCACTCTACACAAACACACAACACTCGGCCGACTGGGAGGTCCAAGTTATCCCGTCAGGCGACAACCTTCCAAGCCACTACTTTTAGCGCACCGTGATAGTTTAAAGCGCGTCAGATTGTTTATAGTGAGGAAAATGCGCTGAGTCGTCGGCCTCAATCTCCCTTCCAATGCCCAGGCCCCAGCCACTGTCCGAGCCGGTCAGTTGACTGATGCGGAGAATGAGCGCGGTGGCTGACATATCTAGTGACCTTATCTACGCGCGCCACATGCACGACCTGCCCCCTCCCCAAACAGAAGCACCAGGATCTCACAAAACTGCGGTTGGATGGCGTGCATCTCACATGCGTGAGAGTGCGGTTGGTCACGTTTAGACGTAGCTATTTCAGCCTGGCTCTCAGCCCATCAGTCAGCCACTCCACACACGCACACAACTGGGCCGGCTGCGTGGACTGAGATGGGTCGTCAGTCCGCAGCCTTCTAAGCCATGGCGCTTGGCGTGCCGTGATAGTTTCAGACTGGAGTCCTACATGCAGCTGGGGAGCCACGTAGAGGCGGAGTAAAGAAGCATACTTCCCACTCGCGCAAGAGGTGGCATTTGGGCGCTTGTGGTGGCGATGTTGATGTGCGATGAGGTGCTGGTGAGGGAGTATGTGATGGTGCGCAGCCGGCGGTTGTCTACCGCAGGTTTTCGTGGACGTGCATGTGGCCAAAGAGGCCCATGCGGTGTGTGAATTCGCGAGTGCAATGTGAACAGTGGAGGCGGATGAGACTCCAGGCACTGCCTCGTCAGTCTCTGTGCGACGGATCCGCAAGTGACTGGCCAGGCTGATGCGTGAGATAAATGTGCGGGGGCAGTATGGACATAAGAAGTCGGCGGTGTCAGTATCAGCCACGGTGATGGCGGTGGTGGGCGCGCTGAGCGTGGTGGGTGTGAAGGATGCGTTGGTTGTTATGGAGCTGGTGGCGGTGGGCGCGCAGGGTGGCGGAGTGAGAGTGGGGCTGGGCATGGTAGGTGTGCTGGATGTGCTAGGTGTGTCGAGATTCCACTCTCGTAGGTTCGCATGTGACCGAATAGGCCCATGTGGTGCATGCATGTGCGAGGACAGTGTGAACAGTGGGAACGAATGCGGCGGGTGTAGGTTGGTACTCCGGGCACTGGTTCGCCAGTCTCTGCGCGATGGATTCGAAAGTGGCCTACCAGGTCGATGTGTGAGGTGGAAGTGCGGTCGCATTGAGAGCAGGTGTAGTCCAGGTCCTCACCCCTCATGTCAGCGATTGTGGTGTTGGTGGTTGTTGGTTTGTCAGGATTGTGCGTAACGTTGATGTGCGTGGCAGATGTCACAGCGGCAGACGTTAAGGCAGTGGAGGAGGAGCAAGATGGAAGTGCTGGTTCGGGAGGGCGGTCAGAGTTAGTTGACGGCGTAGAAGGCGAGAGATAGGTGGACGGAGAGACGACGGTTGGTACAGTCCGAGTGCTGCGGTTGGCCCGAAGGTATCCAGCAAGTTCAATTGGCGTCCGGAATGTCCGCTGACACCGTGGGCACGTTGGGGGCGATTGGACTTTGGCGTTGCGAAGTGGACGCAGCCGAAGTTTGCGGACTCCTCGTTTGGCTATCGCGGCGGCTATGCGGCTGGCTTCGTAGACCGCAACGCCTGCCTTCACTGTCCTCCTCAAGGTTGGTCGTTCTCGGTGAGGTCTTCCCAGTTGGCTGGGTTGATCTGCAGACGCTTCAGGGAGGTCTTCAGAATGTTCGGCCTCCTCGGCGGCGGGAACCCGTGGTGACATCTCTGTTGAAAAGTCGTTTTGGTAGCAGGTTGTCCGTCTGCACGAGGTGGCCGTTCCTACGCAGTTGTAGTTGTCTCAGCATGGCCTAGATGCCGATGATTCCCGTCCGCTCCAGTACATTAGTTTCGGGAATTCGATCCTGCCACCTCAGCTTCAGTATCCGTCAAAGACTGCTGAGTTGTAAGTGATTGAGTCTCCGCACCTGTTTCTTGTAGACCGTCCAGGTCTCTGCTCCATACAACAGCGTCGGCATGATGACTGACTTGAACATCTTCAGTTTCGTGTTGAGATGAAGACCGTGACGGTTCCAGACGGTGTTCTGCAGCCGGCCGAAGGCTTGGTTGGCTTTGGAAACGTGGCGGGCAACTTCCTCGTCGATTTTGGTGCAGCCCAGATACGTGAAGATGTCCACCACTTGTAGTTGAGTTCCGCCCACAATGATTTGCGACGCATTGTGGACTGTGTTGGGCGGCGGTTGGTGCATGACAACCGTCTTCTCCGTGTTAATGCTCAGACCGAAGTTCTCGCAGGCGGCAGAGAAGAGATCCATATTCCTTTGCATGTTCCCTTCCGAACTGGCGTTGAGGACACAGTCATCGGCGAAGAGACGTTCGTGGGCGGTAGTTGTGGACACACGACTGAAAGTGCACCCACCTGTGGTTGGGGAGGTGGCCATCCGTCCTATAGGCGATGCGGATCCCGGGCCGTTCGTCACAGTACGCGTCCATCAGCATGGCAGAGAACATAAGACTGAGTGGAAAGGGCGCGAGGACGCGTCCCTGCTTCACTCCGTTGGCACTGCGAATGCCTCTCAGACAGTTCCATTTTCCCTGACGCGCGCTATCATGCCAACATGGAGCTGGCGCACCATCGGAGTGAATCGTTCGGGACAGCCGAATTTCTGCATGCTTTTCCACAGTCCTTCGTGATTCACCGTGTAGAAGGCTTTCGTCATGCAGCGTATGCCGTCCGGGCTGTCAGGACATCATGCCACATACGCCTGACACGCGAACGATCAAGGTCATGTACCCCTGTTCACACCTTCTTTGTGCTAATTGGCCACCCATAAGCCTATGACATTCCCCCCTGCCATATGCCCGGCCGTTTCCACAAGCCTCCTCACACGTGCTGTCTCTCGTACCCAGTACACGTCCTAGTTCCAACTAACCTTCTGTTTTGCATACATAACACCTCAGATCCACGAAGGTAGAGTAGAGGTGGGTCCGGATCTCCTGACACTTCTCCTGAATTTGGAGGCGGAGATCTCCCCATCAACGCATGCACTCACCCATCTCCACCCGGCACCAGCACCTCTCACGTAAGTGAGAAGTATGTTCTCCGGCCCCCCTCCACATGTCTTCTCAGCCGCACGTGGGATCCGTGCGCACCTGTCGTGATATACGCAAATCCTGCCCAGGTGCAGGCTGTTACCAGATGACGTGTGATGGGATGCAAAGAAACGTGGGCTCACGCTATAAGAGCTGGTATCCGTGTCACAACCCATACCCTCTGGTTGTTATGCTAAAATCTCGGTCGGGGATTTTGAGTGAACAAGGGGGCGTGGTGGTACGCCTCAGTGAGGAGTTATTGAAGTGACGAGCTGACGAGTGAGTTTCCAATGGTCGACGACACGAAGATTCCCAAATCACAATTCGCGAAAGACCGATTGGGTTGGACAAGCTTTAATGTTGTGCAAGAGCGTACAGAAGGCTTGGCAAGTATCTGCCTCAAACCGTCTCTTCAGGCGTGTGCCAGTGTCCGCCGTTGAGGTCCTTAGCTCTCACCGCATGTGTGGATCCTTTGCTTTGCCTGAGTTGTGTCCGGCTGTAGTTCACCAGCGAAGGAGCAGCGTTGATTGACTTCTAGCTCTCAC